GTCCTATTACAGTTATTTTAAATAATCAGTTCTGATAATAAATTATACGAAATGGGTTCATTATACTCTTGTGTTTCCCGTTCATTATACCAAGATAATCCGATTGAGTGTGCTGGAACTCTGTAGTCACTGGGTTATGTAAGCTTTGAAATAGCATAAAGCAAGAGTTTATTGCTATACTTTTATACATTTAATTCTCTTGCTTTGTGCTGTAAACTGACCTACCTTATCTTCCTTACTAGTACAGTTTATGTTTATATACAGATACCAAATGAATGCCTTGCATTTAGCAGGTATCTATACATATATGATTTAATTTATTGTAGCATGTTAGTGTCATTTTCAGTAACCTGTCAAGATTTACTAAGGATTTATAGAAGAAATATTTAAATTACAGTACTCATTAATGCCCCAAAGTCTTATATATAAAGGCAAGTATTCTTTAAAAGCAAATTTGGGGCAAGGGAGGGGTGAATACATGGCTCACGGGTTAAGGGTTCTTGCTCTGCAGCATGAGAAAGAGTCCAAATCCCCAGTACTCATTAGGGAAAGTCAGGCATGGAAGTGTAAGCTTGTGGCCCCAGTGCTTGGTGGCAGGGTTGGATAGAGGAGGTTGCTGGGCATGCTGGCCATTGCCTAGCCCAAACCCATAAGTTTCAGGGTCAGCATGAAACCTCGCTTCAAGGAAGAAAAGGCAGAGAATGGTAGAGAAGGACAGCCTCCTCTGGCCTCCATTTGGGTATGTGCTCCTGCACACATGTATGTGCACATGTCACACACACACACACACACACACACACACACACACCATACACAAACGCTTTACTTTATTTGCAGTTTTTACATACTAAAGGCTTTTGAGTCATTCACTGTTTTTCTCCAATTCTCAAGACCTTGGTTTTCTAGGTTAGTTATCTCAGTACAGAGAAGAGGTTCTAACAGGAGATCAATTCTGAGGTATTTGGGTATGTGGATCTGTTTGTTATGTTGCTTCAGGATCAGGACTGACACATCAGCACAGTACCTTCTGCCACTTTCTTGACTTGCACCACTCACTACTATACCCAACACAAGAATTTTTATGAACTCCCCCTTTCCATGCTCATGATTTAGAGCAGAAAATGTTCTTGATCTTATATTCTTACTTGTTTTGAGAATTATGTGTAATATATGTATCACTGTGTGTGTGTGTGTGTGTGTGTGTACATGCCTGGGTGTATGCATTTGAGTGCATTTGCACATGTCTGCTCATTCATGTGGAGGCCAAAGGTCAACCTTGGGTGGTGTTCTCAGAAATCAGTTTCCTTGTTTATTGTGTGTGTATCCAAGAATTCACGTGCAGGTCAGAGGTCAACACTGGGTGTCTTCATCAGTTGGTTTCCATCTTTCTTTTTGAGATAGAGCCTGTTCAAGAGCTACAGGGATTCCCTCCCCAGGCTAGGATTACAGACATGCACTTTGGACCTGGATTTTACATGTTTCTGGGGCGAAATCAGATCCTCATGCTTGTACATGAAACACTTTACTGAATGGACTATCTGCCCAGTCCTGTGTCAATTGTATCTCTCCATAATTTGAATGAAATTGTAGAACCCATACTATGGAGTTGTAGTACTGAATCTTATAAGACATATTTGTGTTTTGGTGTAATTATCATTCTTAGTTCTAGGCACTAATTTTTTCTTTTGATATAAAAACAAAAATATTGAGATTTTTATAAAAAGCACCATCTTATAATCATGCTAAGGAAATTACATCAGTCTCACACATATGCTACGTGTTTTTTTTATTTGTGGATCTTAAATTTTATATAGAAAAGTAAAGCCACGTGTGTGTATGTGTGACAAGAAAGCAGAAACAAAGCTGTGTAGAGGAACAAAGAGGATTAACAGGAGGGGTAGCTAAACCAAGGATGGGGTGATGTAAATATGCCAAAAATAGATTACATACTTGTATGAAAAATGCCTTCATGAAACCTAATACCATGTACACTAAATACACACCAATTAAAATATTATTTAAAAGAGCACCATCTTAAACCAGATTCTCAGATTCTCTTGCAAAACTCCTCATACCTAATTTTATGTTGTATCTGTCATTGTTGTTAGCATTGTCATTTATTACTTTCAGTGACAAACTAAGTTTTCTAAAACTTGTCTTCCAGTTACCTGAAAATACATGTTTGTAAAATGAATTAGTAACTATTATTCAAGCAATAAATTATGACATTTTATAGAGTTACAGCTTTTCAACAGAAATTAGTTCAAATTTGTTTCTATACAGCAGTATCTTAGAATGTTCTCTCTCACACACTACAGTGCTCTAGAGAAGCAGTATGGGAGGCTGTGTATCATCAACTCAATTTGGTAAGAAGGAAAAACTGGCACTAAAATATCATTTAAAAAGTGGTGTTTGGAGAACTGTTATATTCAGCATTCTTTTCCATTAATTCTGCTCTTTTATTTATTCCTGAGTATCATCAATATTTGTACATCTATATGTATATGTGCAAATAGCCAGTCACTCTGTGTACATTGGGAGGTGTCTGATGGTTACTGACAGGATGTTTGCAAAGTCAGTGATAACACATGACATTTTACCAAATGATTAATTTCTGTTAGCTCAAATCACTAGTTTAGTACCATCGAGCAGTTATTCATGCTCAAAGTGCACAATCCCTAAATAGTTTGGGGATTTATCTCTTTTTTTTTTTTTTGACTTGCACTATTCCACTCATTTGATAAAATGAAAGGATTGTTTCCCATAAACAAAAAATGAAAACCTTTTAAAAAGTCTTATACTCTTAATCTTTCAGAGCAAATTAAGTCCTTTAAAATGATGTCTTGGTATGTTCTCCTTGTCAGTAATGTATCATTTTAGATGTATGAGTTTCCTTTTACCTTATGTTTAAAAAGTTGATACTTAGTCCATCAAATTAAATCACTTTGATTTGATTTATGCTGCTATGTTAAAGCATGTGCAAATGAAATTTTACATGTGTTATTTTATGTGCCTTATTTTCAAATTTATCACATATATAGCAAAGACACCAACATAATGTTACAAACTTTGATTTCAAGGTTAAATATTGATTCCATGTATTAATTTAAGTATTTACCTTTAAAGCTAAGTAAAAATGTGTTACTTTTACTACTGTTTGGATATACTTTAGTTCTCCAGCCACATTTATTCTATTTAAGTTGTGTGCTGGGTCCACTTGCATAGCTCTGTAGCAGAGCAGGACACCATGGGCTTCAACCCAGCACCAAAACTGAGCAATAATAACTGTATGTTAGACCCAGTCATACATACATGGGAAGGTACATACATGGGAAACACAATAGTCTACCCCTCAGGGAGTTCACAAATTGATAGAAATTGAAAAGTGCTAGTAATAGGGATATTATTAAACTTTATTACTTAGTACAAAGGGTATATTGGGAATTATTTTAATTAGCTCTCACAAAACTCAATAAAGTAATATTATTCCCATTTAATAGTTGGGAAAACAGAGTCTTAAAGGTAAGAAGTCATCCAAAAGTATAAAGCCAATTATACCATGGTATTGTGATGCTGCCATTTCATACCCCAGCTCTATGCACATCTATACTACAGGAAACCTTTTGCATGCCGTGCATAATGAGGTAAAAATGAGTAATCTAAAAAAAATGAATAATCTGTGCTCTGTGTTGCAAAAAGTTTTCAGTTTCATCAGTGTACTCAAGATCTATCATTTTAGGTTATGCCTATTTAAACCTACCTTAATACATTTTTAAAATAAAAAAACATTATATGATAATGAAAAATGACTACACTCCACTTTGAATAGTCATCTACTGACTTATTTGTTGTTTCCTAATTTTGATCTATAAAGGGTTTTGTGTTTGAAAGTCATGCACTAGAGCTAGGAAAACCTACTTGTTGTTTTGACATGTTGCCTGAAGAATACTGCATTGCTCTGTACAACTCTTGATGATTATCTGGATTAACTCAGTAAATTGAAAGGTACAGCATGTAAGATTATTTTTAAAGCCAAGCTGCTTAATTTTAGTTCAGCTAACATTTAAATTTCTTACATTAAAAAGTATGGTTGGGGTTAATTTCAGAGTGAATGTTAAAACTCAGTGTTACCCTTTACATTTTCAATTCAATCTGCCAAAAATACTTCTATTTTTTGTTTATCCCTTTGCATGGGAGAACCTCAGAGCTCCTTCACCAGCATTCCTATTGTATCAAGTTATAGATCCATAAACAAATAAAGATTAATCAAGTGCCAGTAATGCATATGTATCTAAAATATGTTGTTGATACATACCCAGGGCCGGTCATACATAAATACTTGTGGCATTTTTCTGTTGAACTATCAATACTGGGAGGCCTGCCATTTCTGTATTAATTGGAACAGTTAGGGAAGGGGCTGAGCAGGTGCTAGCAGTGCCGAAGGTAACTGGCCTTGAGAAGGATTTCCAGGTGTTCATGGGAAGTTGCGCTTCTCACTCCAGTCTCTACAAACACTGAAGAACATTATTAAAGGACCTTAAACATGTCAAGTCAATCTGCATTTGCCTCAGTGATATTTAAAATACTAATTCTGATTCTTTACCCGACAAATATGCTTTACATTTTAAAAATTGCATTTATTTTTTTGTTAGATGGTTAGAATTGCTTGGTACTCTGTTAAGCTTAAGGGCATTATGATTTAGACAAGGACTGTTTTATTTGATGAGCAGTGGTGATGTCTAGCATTTCTTGGACACATAGTGGACTGTGCCCTTCACTCCTGCACTTTACCATTGTTAATGTCCAGCCTGTGCTGGGCGGTTGTGATTGAACTCATCAGTTGTTGTTCATGGAGCATCTGCTCTTTGCATTGTTTCTGAATGTTGTCATGTATGTGTGTTTATCATATGTGAGAGACTGATGTTACTATTTTTGATTAGTTAAAAATTTAGTATTTTGAAACCAATGAAAAATTAACAATTGAAACCCTTAAATTTCAGTTTATTGATGGTCGACTGGCAAAACTCAATGCAGGAAGGGGTTTCTCTGATATATTTGAAGAAGAGATCACTTCAGGTGGCTTTTGTGGAGGTAAACAGAATTTTTAGTATGCTTATCCATTTTCTAAACAGCACCTTAATTTTTGTATTTGTCTGTGATATATATATATATAAACTTAAATAGCTGTTTTCTTCTAAATGCACAATATCTTAAATATGATTTTCATTTTATAATAATGGTGGTATCAGCTTATCTTTTATCAAGACAGTAAAGTTGTCTCATAAGTTGGTATCTCTTGGCTGCAGTAATTTCTTAATATTTCTGATAATAAATACCAAAAACCCAATTCATTTGCATTCTTTGGTCTTTCCTTCTGAATAGTACTAGTCTCTGTGAGAAAATGACTAGTGATGGCTTTTACTGAGTATGGAACTTAAACTGAAAAAATGCTTGTAATAGTACTTTGTAATAGAGGGCAGCAGGAAACATTTGAACAGAGTGAATCCATTCTTCATTTTTCAGTAAGTGTATTATGTTGAAGTCTTTACCATGTTTGTTCAGTAGACCACTGTCATGTTAGCTGTTTTACATTTACTATTGCAAAAATATAACTGATCTTCAAATGTAAATATTAGTGTTCTAATTATCTAGGTAATTAAAAATGTATGAATTGATACTTTGTTCACAGATCTTCTGATTCTGACTTGCAAAGAATTTTGCTTGAATACTCTAGATGCCCTTGTCCTTCATTTACCCAGTGCCCAGTGGTGCTGAGTGCTCACTGTGCACTGCTCTATGTGTCAGGCAAAGAAAATATCTGCCTACTATCTTGGTGTGTTCATTTTGACCTGATAATAACATCCTGTTTTCTCTCTCTTTGTTCGTTTTCTCTGAGAGCCAAGTTTTTAGCCTATGCATGAATAAGTAGTAGCTGGATTGAGAACATGGGTATTGAGTACATAGCTACAGATGTCATACCTTCATTTTGTAATTAGGTAATATTTATTCTCTGTCATAAATCATAGAAATAAAGTTAATATCATGAGGAGAAGTGCAGATGAGCTCAGCAGCAGCAGTGGTCTGTATCTGGCAGAAATACAGTGCTTCATGGAAAGCAGTGAGCTTGGGGAAAAGTTGGTTTGGTTGACTCAGCTAGTAAGTCCAGTGTGGAATCATTCAGCCCCTTGCTTTTTCGCATCTCATTGGCAGAAGAAATTTAGCTTCAGTGGAACTTTTGTGTTAAAATGACACTTTCTTACTTTTCAACTCAGACAAGCAAAATATTGTCTGCTTATGGACAAATTGTTTGAGGCATCTATTCATTATTTACATAACTGCTGTCTCATTATCTTTATGACCTGTGGGGCTAGGTGCTTTGGTAGAATTGAAGATGACATCTTATGACAGTAATAGGGTAGAACTATGATCCTTTTGTACAGTTACACTCTGTAGTGATAACCATTGGACCAGATACTACCAAAGTAGAGAGTGTTTACATGGAGGGCAGAAGATGGTGACTAATTTTTTTGCTGAAAGTCTTATTGTTTAAAAAAGAATAAGAGAATATGATCACTGGTTTTCATCTGACAGAGAGTGCTCCATTTTTAGTACAACTTAATTCCAGATACTTTATCGATTTAGATTCTAAACTTGGCTATTCTGAGAGAAAATTCTTATCTAGTCTAATAATTATTAATTTTATTGAACAAGAAATTTCTTTTAAAATTATGCCAGTCAAGTGTTATTTTTATTCGTAGTTTAGATTATCTCTGGGATCCATGAAGATTATTCTTAGAAAAAATAAAGCATGGTTGATTAGGATTTGAAATAAGAAAAATAATGAGTTAATATTTTTTCTAGCTACTAATTATGAAAGAACTATCCAAAATGTGAGTATGTATATTTCAAAAAATAGACCCTAGAGATATATTCAATAGTTGTTATGTAGAGTACACTTATGAAAAAGTATTTACCCTTCCTCCAAGAAGAGAACAGGTCTTTATAATTTCTGTAATAGTAATTGTGATAAATATAATTGCTGATATTTTTAAGACTGTTATATGATAGAAAGTCCTTTAAAGATCTCAAGTGTTAATTCATCTAATCCTCATAACACTCCAAGAAGTACTCTGACTACTGAATTTTAATGAGGGCACTCAGCTCAGTAATTCACTCAGTTATACAGTAAGTAGAGGCTGGAGTTTGAATGCTTTGTGTCTACCTAGCTTCAAAGCTCTTGGTGTAGGTATAATATATTGATTTTAAACTAATAAAACATTATAGGAAGAAAACAGTCAGTGCTGCTAGAAAAATTAATCATTCAGTAAAGTGCTTGTAGTCCAAGCCTTAAATCTTCATAACTTGTACCACATTCCCCTGTTGTTTTAATAGTCTGTTTCCTCATTCTTCACAATTTTTAGTCACTTTGCTGTTTCTCCTTCTTAACTTTATTTTCACAGTACTAGCTCTAAGCAGCCCCCTTTCCTTTCTGACGTAATTGGTTTTGAAATGTTGCAGTGGAAGCCTCTGTAACTGAAGCACATTTTTATTAAACAGTCCTACAGGTGGCATTTCAGAGTTGAAGAAATAATGAACCAGGTATTAAAATACCTGACTGTTACTCTTTCTTGGTTGCTAAAGAAACTAGTCTCACATGATATCATCCATGGGGTTGACCTGCAAAATTCCACAGCCAAAGTCCCCTGCTTCTCATGCCACTTCCTGAGGTGTCCCCTGCTCTGCACATTTTATGGTAGAAAAGAACAGTTCCAACAGTGTACAGTCAGTGAAAGAAAACAGTGCTAAGTGGCACGCTCAGCTTTCTGCTGTAACTTCCCTGAGGATTCTCAGAGCTGTTTTCTTTGTAATTGTAAGGTTGTTTGTTTGTTTGTTTGTTGTTTTCCTGGTTTGTGACAGTTCTGGAATTTTAAGTTATTGTTTGTTTCTGTTTCTCCTACTGCTTTCTTGAATTTATTTTGGAGAAAATAAACATTTTACATTATAACTGTGAAGAACGTGCAACTCCTAACTATATGATTTCCCATGCAGTCATTTTTGATATAGAAATAGAGAATACATGAGCACATGAGAACTTGGTACATAAATGTGATCCCAGCTTGAGAAGTAGAAACAAGAGGATCAGGAGCTCAAGGTCATTCCCAGCTCTGTAGAGAATTTAAGGCCAGCTTGAGCTACAATGAGACCCCACCTCAAAAAAGTTAAAATGCATTTTTAAATAAATGAACAATCTAGATGAGTGAAGATAGGATTTTATTGTTAGTAAAACTGATTTAAGTATTAAATTAAAAATTTTGTATCATTTTATAAATGAAACATAAATTTAAAAATTTATTCGAGCCAATACTGCTTGTAACTTGTAACTTCTTTTTATTTATTTTTGTGTTTTTTAAAATTATTTATTTTTTGTGTGTATTTCATTCAGAATATCTCAAACAATCCTAATCATATTTATACCCCCATCCCCACCAACCCTCCCATAGCCTCCCCCTAGGACCTTTTTTTTCAATTTATGAGTCTTGCTTGTGTACATGTAAATGCACTCATGCATGCAATGCCTACAGAGGCCAGAAGAAGGCATCAGATTCCCTGGAACCAGAGACAGTTGTTAGCCTCCATGTGGGTGCTAGGATCCAAACCCAGATCCTCTTCAAGAGCAGCCATCTAAACCACTGCCCTACCTCTCCAGCACCACCCCTCTTCTCGACAGGGTCTCCCTGTAGGCCTAGCTGGCCTGCAAGTCACTATGTAGACCAGGCTAAACTTAACTCATAGAGAGCCACCTGCCTCTACCTCCCAAGTGCTAGAATTAAAAGATTGCACCACTGCAAGTTGTCACCTTTTAAAAAGTAACTTATCTAACCTATCAGAAGATAAGTAATAATATTGTTTGCCCTGATTTTCTTTCTAAAAGGGGGTGGGGAAGCACAGTGTACAATAAAAATTGTTTTTTGGCATTTCTTTTAAGATAGGGAAATTTTTGAAGCATAAAAATTAATATAGACCTGGACACTTTTTGCTCAGTTTTTATTAATGATTCAAATTAACACAAGAAACTCATAGGCTGGGATCATTATAGCAATTATGAGCCTGGTGTGGCCCCAATATTCTTACGTATATTTGTTTCTCACATATATGCCATATGTGTGCACATGTGGAGATCAGAGAACAACCTGCTGGAGTCAGTTCTTTTCTTTCACCGTGTGGGTTCTGAGGATCAAACTTGGGTCATCAGGCTTGGTGGCAAACAGGCAAGTCCTTGCTGGCCCCTGACATATTTTTCTAAACAAAGATAGAACCACATAAGAAAAAGAACATTGTGTATTTTGAGGGATTCTTTGCGCTGGACAATACTGAGTAACTATTGGGACTTTCTTTTTTGTTTTGGTTTGTTTTTTGAGACAGGGTCTTCCAGTAGCCTCAGCTGGCCTGTAATTTGCTATGTAGATCAGCCTTTCCTCAATCTCATAGAGATTCACCTACCTCTGCCTCCCAAGTGCTAGGATTAAAGGTGTGCACCACCATACCCGGAAAGACTTTCTTTTTTATTATACCTTTTTACCCTTCTAATTTAGGGAGTATTTAAGGATCGAAACAAGAAAGGAGGTACTTCAAAATCTAGCTGGAATCAGGTGATATGAAAGATTACTTTAGATGTGTGTTTCTTTTTGCCTTCTAATCTTGTTTCATTGATGTTAGTTGCTTTTCTGTTGCTGTGGTAAATACCATGACCAAGGCAACTTAGAAAGGAAGAGTTTATTTGGCATACAGTTCAGGGGGACAAGAGTCTATCGTGGCCACAAAGCATGGAAGGAGGCAGTCAGAGCAGAAGCTGAAAGCTCTCACATCTGCAAGCAGTAAGAGACAAACTGAAAACCAGCAAGGCTGTGAACTCTGAAAGCCTTCCCCCAGTGGCTGCTCCCTCCAGTTTGGCCACACCTCCTAAAGATTCCAGGAACCACCATCCCCCCACCCCCACAAAAAAAAAAAAAACAGCATAGCAACTGACTAAGTGTTCAAATACTTGGGAGCCCATGGGGAACATTTTCATTTAAACCAGCACAATTGACCAAATGATGTTATTTCTAAGTGTATGAGAGGAGGTGTTGCATCAGTTTATGTGTATGTATGTGTCTGGGTCTGTGTCTGTGTGTAGGCCAAAGGTCAGATGTCATTCACCTTATCTTTTTGAGACAGGATCTCACTGGCCTGGGTGTTACAGAGGGTTCTGCCTGGCCTCACCTCACCTGTACTAACATTACTTGTGTGTACTACCATATCAGCCTTTAAATTTGTATCAAACTCAGGTTCTCATGCTTGCACAGCAAGCAGTTTATCTGGCCTGGGTGTTACAGAGGGTTCTGCCTGGCCTCACCTCACCTGTACTAACATTACTTGTGTGCACTACCATATCAGCCTTTAAAATTTGTATCAAACTCAGGTTCTCATGCTTGCACAGCAAGCAGTTTATTCACTGAGCAGGCTCCCTAGTCTAAATTGCAGGTCTTATTAGAATTAATTTTCTCAGCAGTTGAGCTTCTTAAACATTTTTATTTAATAACTCATCAACTCCAGTTTGTGCTGTCCATATACTGGGCATGAGGCCATCCACTGGAGCATGGTCGATCTCCCAGACACCTCATCCTTACAGACTCCCCATCCTAAAAGCCATCAGCTGCCCATAGCTCCTCAGTTAGGACTGGGGGATAATGAATGTTTTTCCACTCCAAGCTAAAATGTTGACTGGCTTGATCTTGTACAGGCCACCACAGCTGTTGTGAGCTCTTGAGTGCAGTGCTCCTGTCATGTCCAGAAGACACAGTTTTGCTCCAGACTTCCCCTCTGGCTCTTTACAATCTTTCTGCCTTTTGTGCAATGGTCCTTGAGCCTTGAGGAGAGGTGTGATACAGATATCCCAATTGTTGCTAAGCACTTCACAGTCATTTATTCTCTGCACTTTTTGATCAGTTGTGTTTCTCTGTTAATTACCATCCATTACACACACACACACAAACAAACAAACAAACAAACCTTGAATGAGGTCTGAGAACTACACTAATTCCAGTTAAGGACTGGTCCAAGCAGTTGAGCTTTTTAATAACCTCAATGTTCCAATCTAAAAGTTTGATTTACTTCACATTTTCTTTAGTAGTATCTTTTAAGTTTGAAATCTAGAAAATATTTTCAGAAGTAAAACTGCCATTTAATTGCATTAAAATATAAATATTAATGTACATTAGTAGCTGAATGGTAATCTTTTTTGTCCTCATGGTTTGCTGCATTTCCAAATTTCCTTCTAGTTTTCTTTTGTATTTCTCTGTTTGCTTTAAATATTATTTTAAATGAACCTGAGTGTGTAAAAAAGACAGACATTTATACAAAATGGCATAAAACATTGGGAAATTAGTTTTAAAAGCATAGGAATATTGAATTTCAAAGAAGGCTGTACTTTCCCCAGAGAAGCCCATAATCAAGTGGAAGAATCTAGAGCAGATTAGCCTCCTGTGCAAATGGAGAAACAGTGACTGTGTTTTAAAGGTACTGCTCATCCTGTCGAGAGAGCAGTTTATTCCTACTTTGCCATTGCTTCTTTTACAACATGGGGAGAAACTGCCTATGATAATGCTGAACATACTACTTCTGAATGAACTTTAGTTTCTAGTTTTACTTTTTGACAACTATTCCCAGCATCTAATTTTTATATGTTCCAGGGAACCCAAGGTCATACCAACATTGGATGTATACAGTGAAGGTAAGCGTAAGCCTTCAGTTTCCTTTTTTGCACTAAAAAGTACAGAGAAATGCTCACAAAAGATGTCCTGGTTATACTTACACTGTTTAATTTGAAATGTGGATCTCTTATGCTTTAAGGATTTTTATTTTATTATAGTTTGTTGATGATCCTGAAGATCATTTTAAAATGAAAACTTTTTGTTCAGAGGTAAACGACTTGTTTTCAGGACCAGGATTTCCCTTCACTTTATATCATGCTCCAGGACTCCCTTGGAATGGTACGATGATGGGGGTTTTATAATGTAAAATCTTGGACTGGGCGTGGTGGTGCACACCTTTAATCCCAGCACTTGGCAGGCAGAGGCAGGGGGAATCTCTGTGAGTTCAAGGCCAGCCTGGTCTACATAGTGAGTTCCAGGACAGGTCTCAAAAAGAGAAAAAAAAAATGTAAAATCTTGAAAACATTAAATATGAAGTCATTTGGGATTTAACTTGTGACTATAATTCTTCTGTACTACTGACAATGCTTTATTTTCAGGACAATTTGCCCAAATGTCTTTGAAAATATGTTCTTTTTTTTCAGAAGGGGGGAGCATTGCTCAACACAGCAGTAACCAAAGCCACGCCTGCTGTGCGAACAGCATATAGATTTGTAAGTTCCCTTTGTTATTTAACGATTCTGATAATAAAATATATCTATCTATAAGAGGTAGACATGCAAATTTAAAAATACTTTATATGTGTGCATGTGCGGGAGCTGCTCATGTGTGCACTGTCGTGGTCAGCTCTTTGGCTTGGGCTTGGGAGTTGAACTCAGGTCCTCACGCTTGTGTGGCAAGCACTTTTCTGATGGGCCTGTCTCCACAGCCCTGTTCAATTGTTTAAATAAGCTTTTCAAAATGTTTAGAGTTCATATTCACCAAAGTAAAATTCTGTTATTAAAACAATATTATATAAAAAGGTCATTTCCTTTACTATATATGAAGGTATTTCCTCATTTTATTTCAACATTATAATCAAAATTGTATAGCAAATTCTGAAGTGCTGTTTTGAAATTTTAATCATTTCCATGGTGATGGAGAGATAACATTGCAGTTACGAGCATTGACTACTCTTGGCAAAGGACCCAGGTTCAGTTCCCAGCACCCACTTGGTAACTAACAACTGTCCATAACTGCAGTTCCAAGGGATCCGACACCCTCTTCTGACCTCTGTGGGCATCGTACCTACCTACATGCAGTCAGTACACTCATAAAAATAAAATAAAAATAATAAATAAAATACTTTTTAAAATTTGATAGTTTCCTACAACAACATATAAATTCTCCTTGAACAGTGTGTGGTAATAGCTCTTCCTTTAAAGATGCTTTGACTGTGGTTTCTTCAGGAATTCTTCATGGCTTAGAGCAAATTAGTAACAATAGCAGCAATAAACCAAGCCCCATGGGGCCCAGCCCTTCCTGTGTCCCACTGCAATTTATTCCACTGCCCCACAGCTGACAGGTCTCTACAGAGATCTTATTGCTTGAGTACAAGGTTTTAGGCTTCTTCCTTTCTGTCCTCACTCAAGCTGTTCTGTTACTCTGAACATCTGAAGGCCTAGTTCAGACACAGATTCTACCTCAAATTTTCTTCCCAATCCCAAGCCTTCCCACAGTGTATGGATATTCCCCAGCTTCTGCAGGACCTGTAGGCATTTGCTTTATTTTACTTCTTACTTTGTCTGAATACATATTGATCTCTACTACTGAAAGTATAGCTTCCTGTGGGAGATGGTAGTGGATTGATAGTAAGATTTTTTTTAATTACTAGACTATATATTTTTTATATTTCAAAAAATATTCAGGACAATAGTTGTGATTTTGTAAGAATTTACCTTCAAATGGTTTCTCAGTAAAAAAAAATTATGTGTATTCTTGACTTAAAATTGTGATACAAAGGTAGTCTCCTTTTCAGTTAAAAATAAATGTATTTTTAAAACTACATTTTATAGTAGTGAGACTAATCTACGGAGGTGCTTCAAAAGCAATACCTGTGTATTTTGAACTGTTTGAAACCTTATAACACAAAAGTACAAAGAAATAATTGTCTGGGCTTAGATCTGTCTGCCTCTGCCTTTTGTTTGGTTCCAATAACTTTATTAGGGAACTTCTCTGTATCTGTTGCTACCCAATTTTAAAAAATTGGTGGGAGGGGGCAAATTCTATGCATTAGTACTTTATATTATTTCCACCCTTGTTCCCCCCAACTCTTCCCATGTCTTCTCTCCTCCTCAGTTTAACCTCTTCTTTAATTATTATTACTGGTGTGTGTGTGTGTGTGTGTGTGTGTGTGTGTGTGACAGTGCACACGTGGAGGTCAGAGGACGTCCGTGGGAGTCAGTTCTCTCCCTCCGCTATCGGACCTGGGGATGGAACTCAGGTTTGAGCAGCTTTTACTTGAGAAACATCTCTCTGGACCTTTGTCATCCTTTGTGGTGGTGCTAAGGATGGAACCCAAGACCTCAAGCATTCATGCTCTGCAACTGAGCTACAACCCCGGGCAATTAAACACAACATACATGTCTATATAGATGTGCGCACCTTATGCATGTATCATACACACATTGTTCACCTACTTACATGCATCTGTATCCACACATGGACACACGTGCATCACAGATGCTTATACACAGAGACAGTGTGTACACACATATATCACGCATACACACAGGTATGCTGCACTGTGTGTTAGTTCTGCACCACTATGCATGCATCACACACACACACACACACACACACACACACACACACGGTGGGTAAGAAGCACATTTAGGGCACATTCTAGCAGATGGAACAGAGTGACAGATGGGCTGGTGACCACTGCAACCCACAGGAATCTTTCAAATATTTTATTTTACATGTATGAACGTATTGCCTGCATGTATGTGAGTATGTGAGTGCACCTGTGTCATGCATTGCCGCGGAGGTCAGAAGAGGGCATCGGATTCCCCTGGAACTGGAGTTATGGACAGTTGTTAGCCGCTAAGTGGATGCTAGGAATTGGAACCCAGGCCTTCTGCAAGAACAGCCAGTGCTCTTAACCCTTGAGTCATCTTTCCAGCCCACACAGATCTAACGCTGGTCCTATGGAACCCTGGGGCCCCTTCACCCCGGCTACCGCCCCTC